ATTCGTGCACCACTTTGGAAACGTTTGCGCGGCGCTGATGCGAGGACCGCATTTCGAAAACGAGCCGCCCTCCATCCGTGAAACTATGGCAACGCTTTCCAAACGAATGTGCGCGGCGCTAAGGCGAGAACCGCATTTTGAACACGAGCACCCCTCAATCCGTTAAACACTGGCAACGTTTTCAAAACCAATGTGCGCGGCGCTGGCGCGAAAACCACATTTTGAGAACGAGCCGCCCCCCGTCTGTGAATATGTTGCAAACGTTTGAAACCCATGTGCGCGGCGCTAAGGAGACAACCACATTTTGAAAACGAGCCGCCCCCCATCCGTGAAGCCATTGCAACGTTTTCAAAACGAATGTGCGCGGCGCTGAGCGAAAATCACATTTTGAAAACGAGCCGCCCTCAATATGTGAAGCTCTTGCAAATGCTTGAAACCAATGCGCGCGGCGCTAAAGTGAGGGCCACACGTTGAAAACGAGTCGCCCTCCATCCGTGAAACTCTTGCATTTTTTTGTGAAACGAATGTGCGCGGCGCTGGGGCGAAAACCACATTTCGAAAACGAGCCGCCCTCCATCCGTGAAGTTCTTGCATTTGTTACGAACGTGCGCGGCGCTGAAACGAGAACAACATTATATAAATCAGCCGCCCTCGATCCGTTAAACTCTTTGTGCGTTTTTTAAACGAATGCGCGCGGCGCTAAAGCGAGAACCACATTTTGAAAACGAGCCGCCCTCCATCCGTGAAGCTCTTGCAAATGTTTGAAGCGAATGTGCGCGGCGCTAGGCAACATTCTTAACATTAGCCACCTTTCATCCGTGAAGCTCTTGCAACGCTTCTGAAACGAATGTGCGCGGCACAGGGGCGAGAACCACATTTTGGAAACGACCCGCCCTCCATCCTTGAAGCTCTTGCATATTACCTAACAGCTTGTACTGATAGGTTTCTAGTAGGGTCAGAAGAGAGCATCATGACACCCCAGAGGGGGTCCGGGCGGAAGCCGGTAAAAACCGGGAGAATCCGGCGGAGCTCATTCCGTGCGTGCAGGTACGCACGGGAGCCACCTCGGCGCCATCGGAGGTGCGTTCCGTGCGTGCAGGCACGCACGGGGGCCACCTCGGCGCCATCGGAGGTGCGTTCCGTGCGTGCAGGTACGCACGGGGGCCACCTCGGCGCCATCGGAGGTGCGTTCCGCGCGCGCAGGTACGCACGGGAACCACCTCGGCGCCATCGGAGAAGCGTTCCGCGCGCGCAGGTACGCGCGGGGGCCACCTCGGCGCCATCGGAGGTGAGTTCCGTGGGCGCAGGTACGCACGGGAACCACCTCGGCGCCATCGGAGGCGCGGCTGAGGCAGGCTGAGGCTGAGGCTGAGGCTGAGGCGCAGGAGTATGCGGGAGCGCAGCAGGCTGAGGCTGAGGCAGGCTGAGGCTGAGGCTGAGGCTGATGCAGGCTGAGGCTGAGGCAGGCTGAGGCCGAAGGGGTATGCGGGAGCGCAGCAGGCTGAGACTGACGCAGGCTGAGGCTGAGACTGAGGCTGATGCAGGCTGAGGCTGACGCAGGCTGAGCTGACTTGTCCTGTGTACCTCTCCAGTGTCACAGAAGATGCATCTGTAGCTTCCTCGTCGCATTAGGGGCTCCAGCGTCACCGAATGTGTCCTTATACCGTCGCTGTCGTGCCGCGGGGCGCTTCAGCGGGCAATCATGCGCATGAAGTACGCAACGCGCCTGCGCGCTCACGAAGAGGGCCAGGGCGCCCTGTCGCCTGCGGGCGACCGCGCGGGCTTGCCCCCGCAACAGCCAAAAAGGGCATGCCCACACGCCGGGTACAGCCTAAAAGGGCTTTCGTCTGCCTGTTCCTTGCCTCCCGCTCTCCTCCTGAGCACGTTTCGTTTGAGGCTGAACCCATTGATAGCAGTGTCTCGTTTGGACTTACATCCATTGATAGCAGCGTCTCGTTTGGAATGAACACAAAAACCATGTGCTGTCTCGTTGATAGCAGTGCCTCCTTTGCAGAGACATCAACTATTGATAGCAGCGTCTCGTTTCCAGACGCATCCGTAGTAGTAAGTAGTAGTGTCCCGTTCGATATTAAATCCATTGATACTCGTGTCTCGTTTGGGGCGGAAACCATTGATAGCAGCATCTCGTTTGCACCTACACCCCTGCATAGCAGCGTCTCGTTTGGAATGAGCACAATAAGAATGTGCTGTCTCGTTGATAGTAGTGCCTCCTTTGCAGACACGTCCACTATTGATCGCAGCGTTTCGCTTCCAGTCAAATCCGAACATGAATCTAAAGAAGAATGCTTCCATATATGCTCATACACATGGCTGTTAGGTTGTTTTGCTGGGATAATTGTTGAACACAATATGCGCGGCGCTGAAACGAGAACAACATTTTCAAAACAAACCGCCCTCAATCCGTGAAACTTGTGCAACAAGTTTTCAGAACGTACGGGCGACAACCACATTTCGAAAACGAGCCCCCCTCCATCCGTGAAGCTCTTGCAACGCTTTTGAAACGAATGTGCCCCGCGCTAACAATAAAACCACATTTTGAAAACGAGCCGCCCTGCATCCGTGAAGCCCTTGCAAATGTTTGAAACGAATGTGCGCGGCGCTAAGGCGAGAGCCACAAACCACCCTCAATCCGTGAAACTCTGGCAAATTTTTGAAACGGATGCGAGCGGCGCTAAGGAGAGAACCACATCATTCTTCTGGTGCGGGAATAACGCTTCTGCGTGCGGGAAGCGTTATCCTTTTGCCGGAAAGGGGGGGGGGGCTGAAATACTCCATGAGGCTAAGCACGCTCGGGAGGCCTGGAGGCGCTCGCGCCGTGCCCGATAAAGACTCGGGAGGGGATGCTTGCTCGCGTCGGGGCATGGGCCGAGGCTGGGCAGCGCCCGAGAAAGCGGGGCGTGGGGCCCGGTACGCGCGCTCCGCGCTGAGCCGCCCGCGTGGTAGAGCGTGCCGTCGCAGTCGAGCAGGAAGGCGTCGTAGTCGCGGAGCAGGTCCGCCACGGTGGCCGGCGAGCCTGACTCCACGGCCTCCATGCTCGTGGCGCCTCCCCTGGAGGAGGGAGCAGGGAATCTTCCGTGGTCCCATGCGAACCGATGCTAGTCGACGCTAATGGGTGCTAATCGACCCTAAGTCGACGCTGATCGAGGCTCACGCACGCAAGCGCACTCTAAAGACGGAATCTCGAGGACATACGAGGCTCCCATGAAATGCCATCGAAGGAATTGGCTTCGTGGTCGCTCAGCCCTGACAATGTATGATAGGTAGCCCAACGTCACGAAAAGCGGATATAACCTCCGCGGCATCGCGCCGCCCTGGAGCCTCTCCAACCCAAGCCGAGGGGCTCGAAGCACAGTGACCTTCGCCCCCACACGGGTGACCTGAGGCAATCCCAGGACAAGCTGCGCCTTCTCCAGACCAGGCTTGGGACGAGCTGAACCTGGCGTTGATGCTTGTCTGCCAGGCTGGGCCCAGCTTGAGTGTTATTGGGCCCCCACTCTCTAGCCAGCGAGCTCTGTGGCAAGGCCTCCCGTTCCGCTGTGGGAAGCAATCGAAAACGAAACTGGATGTCTGCAGTGCCATGGGTCTTGCGAGACCATACCGTACTTCTGAGGACCCTCCTTCATCACCACCGCCCCTCCCTCATCCTGCAGCGGCGTTGGGCACTACATGGCGCACTATGCTCTCGCACCGGCGTGCCGCATCCCGCATCTGGCTGAATAGCGAGCCGAAACAGCTCTGTCACGGGGGCAAAGCAAAAAGGTGAAGCGAAGGCAGTGGCCTCGCCTCCCCTGACTGATTGCACCAGACCGTGTCCTTCGGGTGCCGCAAGCCTTGGCAGCGAACCGTATGTCGCACAAGTGCAGTGGAAGAAAGAGAAAGGGAAGGAGGACGAGGGGGAGGAAGCAGGACGAGGACGACGAGGACGACGAGGAAGACCACGACGGCATAGCGGGCATGTAAGGAGGATCCGCGGGCACATGCCACAGAGGCGGGAGGAACGAGACGGGCGCAGAGCAAGCTGGTTTCTCGTGCGGTCGCCCGAGCGCACAGGACTGCCTCACGGCACGTTGACTCCTACACTAATGCATGGAAAGATCTACGACGACTCGGGTGCCCTTGTTCAGACGACCCCCGCATCCCCTGACAAACAAGGTCACAAAAGGGTACGCCACCAGCTGTGCGAAACGAGCCCCTTTGATCGCCCGCTGGGGATCAGAGCGAAAGTCTCGAAAGTTGGAGGCGGCCAGGGGGTTGAGCTAATTTGGTTGGGCCTCTAAATAAAATCGGTCAAGAAGGGAGGGGGGGACGCCAAATCCGCTCAAAATCGGTCCCCAGACCCCTCCCAGGGTCCATCTGGCGCAGTTCTTAACACCCGATCCGTTTTTGACGGTCCAGGGACCCGGAAACGGTCCCCAAGGGACCGGAAAAGCCCAAAACATCCCCGAACCCAGAACCCAGAACCCCGAACCTCCGCCTCCCTTCCTGCTGGCCAGAAACAGTGGTGGGCCGCTTCAGACTTCCAGCTGTCTTCACCAGGACATGAACAACATCGGGCACGAATTAGCTACTCGGCGATCTCGAAGAGCTGGCGGGTCCAGAGGAAAAAACGGCCGCCACTGCTGCTCTGAGGATGCTCTCAGAGAGCTCAGGTGCTCCGTATCCCAAGGTTGCGCCTGAACACTTCCCTCCCAAGGTGTCTCGGAGGAAGAATCGGTACAAACATACACTGTCGACGGTCCGCGCGGACTTCCTGGATAGGCGCTGGACCCCCCTCCACGCCAGGGGCGACGCCGCAGGAGCCGCCAAGTGGCGGGTAGGCCAACGCCGATCTAAGGAATCCGCGCGGACCTCAGAAAATGTATGTTTATTCCATTGGTTGTTTGTCAATGTTTCTCTTCCGTACAAAGTCGCACAATTCCCGCTCGTGGGGCGCAGACGGGCACCTAACCCGTCGCAAATGCAGATTGGCAGCGGCACCGGTCGCTACAGGGGGCTCGGGCAAGAGGGATGCAGTCAACCGAAAAGGGACAGAAACGCATGCAGACACCGTCGACGATCCACCTGCTCATCCTCCTCCCTGTTGACAATAATGTTTATATATGGATGAGCATACAAATTATACGATATATATACATATATATATATATATATTGAAATATACATAAGCATGTTGTACCTACATAACTATATACACACATACAACTATACATGCATGCATCCATGCATACGTACATACATCCATACATACATGCATACATGCGTACATGCATACATCCATGTATGCATACATGCATGTATACATGCATACATATATATATATATATATATATATACATAGGTATACGTATACATACATACGTACATACGGACGTACACACATACACACATACATACATACATACATACATGCTTGCATACATACATAAATACATGCATGCATGCGTGCATACATACACACACATACACACATACATGCACATATACATACATACATACATACATACATACATACATACATACATACATGCATGCATGCATGCATGCATGCATGCATACATACATACATACATACACACATACACACATACATATATACATACATGCACACACATACATACATACATGCATACATACATGCATACATACACATACATACATACATACATGCATACATACATACATACATATACATACATATCTATTTATATACATATATATATAAATATTCATATACATATGCATATGCATATGTACATATACATATCTATATACACACAGGCATGCACACCAGAACGGTCCGATTGCCCGAAGAGGCTCCGAAGAAAACCGCAGGAGCCCAATACTGCCCAAAATGGCCCCAAGATGTCCCACGATGGCCCCAAGACGGCTCAAGATGCTGCCAAGACGGCCCAAACCGTCTCCAAGAGGCCTCCCAAGAGGGCCGTACGAAGCAAAAGTCAACGAGTCCCCAATTTTTTGCAGGCTTTTGCAGGTTTCTTAGCGACAGCCTAACTATGAGTTCTGGCCTGTCGCACACGCATTGATTATCCCCCTTCGTCTCCGTGTCGACAGGGTGGAAACCACCTGCTGCCGCTAGCGGGGTTGCGATATTGAAGTCCATGGTTTCTATGTCACCGTCGCTCCAAAATTCCGCACCATGGCTGTAGCTTTGGTGTAGCACATGGATGAGATCAGTATCGCGGAAAGCATATACTCCTTCAGCAAGAGATTAGTCCTTCGCTTCCTGATCAGTTTTGACCCTCATGCCCCATCTCTCCCTGGATGGGAGGAATACCAGCGTTCAGGGGCGCGTGGAGCTTCCGGACATCAGAAGCGCGTGAGAAAATTTCCCATTGTCCCCGCCTGACACGGTCATGGACACAGTCAGGCCACAAGAACGGAATCTCGAGCATGGCACAAGTTTCATGTTCAACAAATCGCGTCCTTACCCGAGTCGAATAGAGCAGAGCACGACGAGTTCGCACTTGATGTAGTGTGCAGACGTCTCGTAAACAAGTACTCAATGGCCATCCGCTGGCAATATTCTGCCGCGATTCGTGGGGAGCGTGCCAGGCGCATCATGGCCAACACCCGCTTACGGGTGGGCACGCGTCCTTTCAATCCGTCGTACCAGCCGTCGGCATCGTAGAACTGCTCAACGAGAAACTCTTCAACAGCGTGCTCCCTCTTGCGGGGAATCAGCGTAACCTCGTAATCAACGACCTGGTGGGGTCCTATTATATAGTCTCGACATGAGGCAGCGTCCCGGATTCGGCCCTCAGCCCCCTGACCACAGCTGTTTGATGATCTTCGCATGCGTTGAAAGTGTGGGCAGGGTATGCGACCATTGCCAAAGTTGCAGACGATCTGCTCCTCGTGGCCAGTAATTGTAGAGTGATGAAGCACACTCTGGATGATCGTTTCCCAGAGGGGTCTTCCAGTAGGGCCAGATCCCGACGACGATGATGCTCCGGTCGGAGCCTTCGTCGCTTCCTTCACGGTCGGCGCCGCTGGTTTGCGAGACTTTGCCGTGAAAAGCATGGCCGTTCCTTTTTCGAGTGCCTCTATCACATTCTTCATATTATCATCGATGGGCAAGGTCTCCATGGGGGACCCTGCTTCCACTTCCATTCCGTAAATAGACGCTCCGTCGTCATACGGCACTGACGTTTTAACGTCGGTCTGCCCATGCCTGCCTGTCATGGTTTTCCACCAGCCATGATGAGAAGTCCCTCGAATTGATATTGACGGACTCAGGCTGCACGTACTGCGGCGCTCCAATATCACCGAATGGTAGAAATTCCCCCTCCTGGCAGCGCACGTGGTGGCCGCCAGTGGGTATGACATGACTCATCACCGGACCCTTCGCGCCTGGGGGCAGGGGTGCCGGAGTCGACGCCTTCGGCGGGGGAGCAGTCGGTGGCGGAGGAGGAATGGTAGACGATGCGGCACCATAGGGGCGATCCGCCACGTCGAACGTGGGGCAGCACAGCTCGTAGCACACCTTCGCCGCGTTGATGATGTACTTGGCGAAGTCTATGGCGCACGTGTAATTTTCCCCTCCCGGGAGGAAGTGCCAGTCGTCGCCCTCTGGGTGCTCTCCTCGGTGATATAGCTCCGAGCCGCGTAGTAGTAGCATCCTGGGGTTTTGGCCAGCTTCCTGGTAGAGGTTGATCCTGTTCTGTCCCCGTGCAAACACTCGGGACGCGAGCGTCTCCCAGTTTCGGCGGTCAGATCCACCTTCGATATGATGCCAGCTTTGTCCATCGCCAAGGGCGAGCATCACGAGCATGTCACCTGTCGCATTGGCGACGTATGCCTGCCCGTCCACGACGTCGTCTACCATGGATAGAGCGTCTCTCTCCACCTCGTCGTAATCCGAGGGCGTGTATTCTCGTCTTGCCCCCTTGTACTCGTTTTTGGTCTCCGTCGTGGTGGACGCACAGCTCGTTGCCGTTCCATATCATAACCCGACATCGGGTCTTGCTGCGTCCATGGGGGGCCTCCCAGTTCATGGAACGTAGGTTGGCTCGAATATCGTCCAGACTTCCACCGTTCTTGACATGCACGCGCGCCCCTGCCCCTGTCGAGCGACCTTCAAATTGTTGCTTCAGGGCGACATTGAGCGCTGGACTTCCTTTGGCGCTTAGGAACGCTATCGTGGAGTCGGAAGAAGCGAGGTATTCCACATCGTTGAACACCCTATCGCCTTCGTTCAAGTCAGCCCCGAGTTTTCCGGCCCACGTTTGAGTCGGGACGGGCCTGAACCACGTCGAATGTGGAATGTCATAGGCTGCGTAGAGGTAGATCGCCTCCCCCGAAATGCAGGAAGGGATCCCAGCCGCCCTGATGAGGCTACTCAGCGCAGCGCAAGCCTGGGGAAAGTCGAGCATGGCGAAAGCCGTAGCCGCCTCTGGCTTGATGACGTAGGCGAGGGCCTTGCCAATCGATTACTGCCGTGACGTACTCAGGCCTCGGCCCTGTCAGTGGCAAGACGTTCAGGTCCAGACGAGGGTCGGGTCTGCTCTCCTTCTTGTACCGCTCGTAACAGTACTCAAGAGCGTTCCGGTAGCCGTGTACTCCTACCGTTTCAGCAAAACCACACCTGTTCCGCTTCTTCGCCGTCTTGGAATCGTCGGCTTGCGAGCGGCCAGCCATGGGCTGTTGGGCCGTTTCAGCTGACCCGGTACCGTGGGCATGGCCCTGGG